ATTTGAGTTTGCTTTGGGTGTTGGGTTTGGTTTTACTCTTGTGTTACTTCTAACTGATAAAGGACCAGCTTTGGGGAGAGCAGACGTTCTAAGATAGCTTTCCAACTTTGAACTTAGTGGTCTAAATCTTCTGTACTCACAGTGGAAAGAACAATTGCGATCATTTTTTTTTTTAAAATCTGGTTCCACATTTTGATGGGGAACATATATGCCCTGGGATGCTGTGTGTGTGTGTGCATGTGTATACATGTGTGTGTGTGTGTATGTATAAAGGAATGATAGGAAATGCCAGAAAGAAGGAAGATGGTAGAAGCTGGGAATCATCAGAGGAAAAAAAAAGTCCAAAGAGACTGACAAAACAGTTAAGTTTGAGACTTAATGCTGTGAATGGCAGAAGGGAATCTTTCTAAATGACAGAGATTAGAATCCCGAGGGAAAAGGGGTCCCTGAAGAACAGATCACCATAGTGAGAAGTTTGTGATAAATCCATGGAACACCGATCACAGTCCTGCTTGCTGGTCACACAGGACAATCTGAGGTTTGCCTTAGGCTCCCGTGATGGCTAAGAATGGCCGTGAAGCCCAGTGAGCAGCGGATTCTCTAGATGAGAATCTGGCGATCGGAAAGACATGTATCTCTTTGATTTCCTGCCTGCCTTTTTATTTCTCAATGCCTTGCTGTCGTTTGCTTGTTTTGGTTTGGATTTTAGAGGTAAGATCTTGCTACGTAGCCCAGGCTGCCCTTGAACACATCACATAGACCTGGTTGACTTTGAACTTTCAGTGCTCCTGCCTCTGCCTCTTGAGTGCTGGGCTTATGGGCACATGCCACCATACAGGGCTTCGTTCAAGTTTCTGAAGTTTTTCTGAAGTGATTCATCGAATCTTCTTTGTACTGACAGTAAATTTTATATTTCCCTATTCCATTTAATCTACGCTCTCGGTCACTTGACTGAACAAGGCTGAAAGTGAATACTTGGGGTAATGGAAACTGTGGACTGTGAGAATGGGACAATGAAGAAGGAGACAGAACATCCAGGGACCAGGCAGCTCTCAAGGCTTGGACAGGAGAGGAAAAGTCGGTGGGCTCTTACACATTGAGATTGAGCCCCAGAGTCAGGGCAGAGCTGTCCCTAGGAGCTGGGAGAAAATACACAAAGGCTTGGCTTCACTGCCACCCTGATATGCAGATCGTGTCAAAACACAACTAGGCTAAGCCTGTCCTCGGATTGGTCAGACCGAAGGGACATTTGACTGTCTATGAGGTAGAGCGCAGGAGAAATGATCTAGGCAGGTGAAAAGTCAGGCAGAAGAGGATAAATCCCTTTTATTTTGGAGCCCTGGCCATGCAGGATAACAACTCATTTTAGGATGGAAAACTTGCTCATTTGGGCTCATTGAGCAAGTCACAATTCGGTTTTAAGTGTGAGGACAGAATGGAGCCTGTGTCGGCTGGTTTTTCGTGTCAACGTGACACAAGCTAGAGTCATCAGAGAGGAGGGAGACTCCGTTGAGGAAACGCCTCCAGGAGATCCAGCTGTAGGGCATTTTCTCAATTAGCGATGCGTGGGGGAGGGCCCAGCCCATTGTGGGTGGTGCCATCCTTGGGTTAGTGGTCCTGGGTTCTATAAGAAAGCAGGCTGAGGAAACTACAGGAAGCAAGCCACTAAGCAGCATCCCTCCATGGCCTCTGAATCAGCTTCTGCCTTCAGGTTCCCGCCCTGCTTGAGTTCCTGTCCTGACTTCCCCCAGTGATAGATTGTTAATTTGGAAGTGTAAACCGAATAAACCCTTTCCTCAACTTGGTGTTTTGATCATGGTGTTACATCACAGCAATAGAAACCCTAAGACAAATTGGTACCCGTATAGTGGGGTGTCACTGTGACAGACCTGACCATGTTTTGGGGAAGATTGTGGAAGGACTTTGGAACTTTGGGCTAGAAAAGCCATTGAGTGTTGAGAGCTCAGTGGGATGTTCTGTGGGAGCTTGGAGGATGAGAATGTTGAGAGCAGTGCAGACGATGGAGGCCTGGCTTGTGACATTTCAGAGGGAAGACTGAAAACTCTAGCAGGACCGTTTGCTATTTTGATTTAAGTCTGTGGTTCTGGTCAGCTGGGGCTGAAGAATCCACTGTGATTAACAAGATACCAGAACTACTGAGGTGAAAACTTTGTGTTACTGGGACTATTGATGCTGGCTAGTTGGGGCTAAGAAATTAGCAGTGATTAAGAAGAAACCAACATCACTGAGGTGAAACCTTCTGGGAAGTGTTTTCTGAGTGCATAAAGAAGCTGTGTTCCAGAGGCAGCCAAGGAAGCAACCAGACTTGGTAATGTGTAAGAAATACCCAGGTGGTGCTGGTTTTGAAGGGACGAAGGGGTCCTGCAAAGCAGCTGAAGGTTGGCACTGGGAGAGGCCATTAATGAAGGTGCAGCCTCAGTGGCAGTTGAAGGCCTAGGACTGAAAAGGTTACACAAAGAAGCTGAGGCTTGGGACCAGGAAGAGAGCCTCTGAAGAGAGGCTGTTGGTGAACATGCAGCCAGTTGCAGCAAGGGATCTCAGTGGTTTTAGAGATGGCCAGTACCAAGGGATGACCACCAAGAACAGCAGCAGCAGTGGAGTAGAGCCAGTCGGAGCCTAGAAGACAAGGTGTGTGTGCTACAGAGGGCAGAGCTGGAGAAGTGACCCAAGCCCTTTGAAGGAGTCCGGGAGATCCCAGGTATTGGGTGGATGGATTTTGATTTTGCTTTGCTCTGATTGTGACTGTGCCCTGATTTTTTTTTTCCCTCTTGAAGTTAAGTATTTTACTGGAGCCCACAGTTAAGAGACTTGGATGTAAGAGATTAGATATTTTAAAGAAACTGAACATTTAATGTGTTTGAGTTTGTAGACTGTGAGACTTTTAAAGTTATAGGTCTTGGGGGATGAATAAGAAAGTAAGGGCTGAGGCTTAGTAGTGATGTGCTTGTGTGTCCAGTTGACAAGGGGTCAGTTGTCCTGGCTGGTTTTGTGTCAACATGACACAAGCTAGAGTCATCAGAGAGGAAGGAGCCTCTGTTGAGGAAATGCCTCCATGAGATCCAGCTGCAAGACATTTTCTCAGTTAGTGTTCTGTGGGAGAGGGCCCAGCCCACTGTGGGTGGTGCCATCCCTGGGCTGGTGGTCCTGGGTTCTATAAGAAAGCAGGCTGAGCAAGCCTTGAGGAGCAAGCCAGTAAGCAGCACCCCTCCATGGCCTCTGCATCAGCTCCTGCCTCCAGGTTCCAGCCCTGCTTGAGTTCCTGTCCTGACTTCCTCCAGTGATGGACTATCGATCTGGAAGTGTAAGCCGAGTAAAAACCTTTCCTCCGCAGCTTGCTCTTGGGTCATGCTGTTTCATCACAGCCATAGAAACCTTAACTAAGGCGGAGACAATCTCAAAATTTGAAGAAATGTAGAGGAACTTAAAGGATTCTCAGTAATAAAGGTGCAGAAGAGATGCAGAGGAATAGAGACAAGTGAACACACCTTCCCATCTCTTCATAAAACTATTCTGTGTCCAGCTGATGACTTTGGATTTAGGAATGGAAACACTATTCTTCAAAGGCGGCTAAGTAGACAGTTATTTGTATTTGAGCAATAGAACCAAAGAGAAGAAGATGACGGGGGGACTTATCATCCCCCTCAAGATGTGTACTCAGGGCAAATGTCTAAGGCAGTGGCGACTGGGAAGGGTTGGGGCTCTGGCCTTTTAGAGAGGTAATGGGGCTTGAACCCATAGCCTGTCTGTACATCATGCTTTGGGGATTGCCGTCCTTTCTTGGGAGCTAAAACGGTGTGGACCAACTTAGAGAACTATCTACGCACAGCGTCTCTTCTAATAGCAAAGCATTCTAGTCCTATAAGAAAAGCCAGTTAATGAAGGGGTCATTGCTTTTTGCCCCTTGCGAGGCCTGTTGAGATTTGAGGTCTTGTGGGAATGCGTTTGTTAGAATACAGCGCATCGCATTGGGACTGTGTGATGGGGGAAGGAATAGGCGGTTCTTGCCAGCTTTCTTCTGTAATGACACGTGAAGGCCAATGGCTAGGGCTCAAAGACAGAAGCTCTGCTCTGCCCTGCGGCTGACGGTTGTCCTGAGCAGGGAGGATCCAGAGAGGTCTCCAGGGCTGGGGAGGTTTGGCACAAACCTGTGACTAGCTGAGGCAAAGTGCTAGCAGATTCAGGGCCTTACAGACAGCATGGTATAGTAAGGAAGTGTGGGCTCCTGAGCCAGATAAGCCTGGCTGGGTTCAGGAAAATGAGTTCTCTGACGTCTGCTTTCATCTTTAAAGTGGAGCTAATGGGACATTGACCTCATTGGTCTCCTTCAGGGACTTGGAGTTCATCTGTGGACTTCAGACGTGATTTCAAGGAGCACGGAGACACCCACTCAGTGTCACTGCTATTAGAGTTTCTTGTTTCTGAAGCCACAGCTCAAGGTTCGTGGCATGCCAGGCGGAAAGGCTAGCACTGAGGACGCAAAGCTTTCCAAAGCTGCGGGCCTGCAGAACGTAACCCGAGGGCTTCTGTAAGGCGGTTGGCAACTCTGTTTTCATTGTGCGGTCCTGGACCCTGTAATCCATGAAGCTCTAATGTCCTAAGACAACCGGATCGATAGACAAAGTGACTGGTCCCATGCTGTGACAAAATTGGGATGGTTTCGCTTAGGACTGTGTCCCGCAGATCCAATCCATGCCATCCTTTGGTGGTGAAGCACTTGGCTATGCAGTTTTCATATCCTCTTAGCTTTGTTTTCCTGTGTCCAAGATGAAGAAGCAGGAGGAGGAGGAGGAGGAGGAAGAGGAGGAGGAGGAGCAGCAGCAGCAGTAGCAGCAGGAGGAGGAGGAGTGGCAGGAAAAGGAGGAGCAGCAGCAGCAGGAGGAGGAGGAGCAGCAAGAGGAGCAGCAGCAGTAGGAGGAGCAGCAGCAGCAGGAGGAGGAGGAGCAGCAAGAGGAGGAGGAGCAGCAGCAGGAGGAGGAGAAAGAGGAGGAGGAGGAGGAGCAGCAGCAGCAGGAGGAGGAGGAGGAGCAGGAGGAGAAGGAGGAGGAAGAGGAGGAGGAGGAGAGGGTTTAAGATAGTCCAGCAAGGCTGGAAGCATTGGAGGCTGGGTGTGTTAGATTCCAGTACCAGTGGCTCAAAGTTTGAACACGTGACAAGAACTGAGTGACAGAGTTGGAAAAGGGGACAGCTTAGAGTCACGGGAGGAGCTAGCCCAGTGAGAAGGGAAGAGGAAAATGGAGGAAGAGGGTAAAGAGGTAGAGAGAAAAACGAAGATCAGACAATGAATGAAATAGTTCTTGAAGAGAAATGGAACTTTCGGGTGCTGAGGGATTTAAGGGTTACGGAAAGACGGTAACAATAGTTATAGAGGTGGGCGTGAGATGGTCAGGAAGTCAGCGGAACAACTATAAGTAGAAAACGGCTTCTGGGATGGCGTGGCATGGCATGGTATGGTTTGTCTCTCATCTCTGTAGTTAAAGAAAAAACGAGAGGTACGGGAAGGAGCCCGGAAAGAAACAGGACCCTTTGTGTCCGGGCCTTTGTTTCTACGGGATTGAACTCTGATCTGTTATGGCTCTTTCCAAAGCTAATCAAATGTAGGTGTATACATGAATATGATATCCCTTATTTGGTTATGCTAATCATTTTGGGCTGTATAACTTCCATGAAAGCCCCTTGGTGCTAGACAACGTGGACGTGTTTGAGATTTGCAGGATCATAATGCCCTTCAGAGTTCTGAGTAGCTTGTACGGTAGGATCATTTCTCTAAATGCTGGCCAGTTCCTGGGGGTTGTTTCCAGACTGGTGTGGACTGCTTTATGTAAAGTAGGAAGCTGGGCTAGAACCAGGTCCTGGGGCGATGAGGTGTTTCCTTAGGGGATTCTTCGGGGTGCTCGTTGTTAAACTCCAGGATGTCCGTTTCTTTATCCAAGTTTTCCATTAAGTACAGGATGTCGGCAGAGACTGCAGAGCCAGTCCCAGGATGGATTCCGTTGGTCTCTGAGGATGTTCCCGTGTCAAGTAAAAGAGCATCCCCGGTACTCGCAGGATCCGGACCTAAGTTTCCCAGGGAGGTATGCCTGGACTCCCGAAACTCTGGCAGGCTCCACCTTTTGGGGAATCGATCATCATCTAGATCTTCCTCAAACTTGAATAAGTCTCTTTCAGTACCGTCTGAAATAGTCTGGGGATTGGGGTCTCCAGTTGGTGTCGCCTTCCCTGAGGGCTCTACCTGCTGCTCAGGCTTGCTTGGCTGCACCCCAGTGAACTCGAGGCTCAAGATGGAGGTAGCGGAGTCATGATGATGGTTGTCTGCTGAGAACGCCGGTGCTTCAGCTGCAGTGATTAGGACCTCGGGGACCTGGGGCATTTTGGTAGGGGAGGCCCTCACACTGGACTGCGGGGTCAGGCTCTGCAGCGTGCTGGTGCGGCTGGTCTCCCTGATGGTAGATAGTTCGCCCATGCTGGAGTGCAGCTTAGGGCTGCCCTCTTGGGAGTGGGATTGCTTCCGGGTAGGTGAGCCTCGGTGGGGGTTCCGGGAGGGCACATCCAGCAGATCCCGAGCTGGGCTTGGGGGAAAGAACATGGAGCTGTCGCTCGCCTGCCTGCCAAAACTCCTCCTCCTCCTGGGGCTGCCGGGGTGCTCGTGGGTACTCAGGAAGCGCTTGACCCTTCTGATCACCGAGTGGCGGTGGCCATGTTTCTCATAGTTCCAAAGCCAGTCCTCGGCGGGGAAGTCGGACCCGGAAAGCCTGAAGGAAGCACACGACAGAAGACAGATTAGCTGCAGGATGAACGTGGGCGGTCACAAAGTTAAAAGGTGAGTCGTGGCGACTGCCGCTTACACAGTCAAAATGATAACTGAGGAAGCGTAGAGGGAAAGAATGTATGAGCACATGGTCCATTAAGAGTGAAGTGATGACGTCATCTTATATCTAGTCGCCTCTAGAAAATTCCACTGAATAGACGTCTCCCCTTATCTCTGAAAGCTACATCCCAAGTTCACCAGTGGATTCCCAGATATATACCAGACTGTGGATGGGCTGCCTTTCCTATCTTAGCTAAACATGTACCGCTCACGGCTATAACTTACTTATTTAGAGACAGAGTCTCATGTATTCCAGGCTATACTGACTAGGATGTTTTGAACTTCTAATCCTGCTATCTCCACTTCCCAAGTTTTGGGACTACAGGCATGCAGTACCACACTTGGCTATGTGGCTAGATAGCTTTTAAGCTAAAGAAATGTTATTACTATGTGTCTCTGTGTATGGTGCGTGTGTTGTGAGTGTGGGCACACATGTGTCATGGCATAATTGCGGAGTGCCCTCCGATGAGGCCAGCTTGTGGGAGTCAGTTCTTTCCCTCCGGGGTGTGGGTTCCAGGGATCCAACTCGGGTGGTCAGGCTTCTGTGGCAAGTCTATTTGTACCAGCCGAGCCATCTTGTCTATCTTTCCGTAACGTTTGCAGCATTGAGCATGACAGCAAAACTATCGTGGGTTCTCTTTTCATTCTCACAATATTTTCATTCTTTTCAATATCATGGGTAGATTCATCCTTGTCCCTATTAATAAACGGCATACTTTTTTTTTTCATTAATCAAGAACTTTTCACGTAAGGGACACACCTCTTAGACAGAGCCCAAAACTATCAGTGCTGTTACTCTTGTAGGTTATTGTTAAGCAGAAAAATAAATTAAGGTATCTTTCTGACCACAAGCATGCAGGTACCGATGTCGATCTGATAACTGAGCTAGGTAGGGAGTTAGGGGCAGGTAGGGCGCGTACCGCAGATACACCGGACAGAGGGGGTGGCTCACAGCCAGATGGGGTGCTGTCAGAGCCCCACATATCCCTGCACTGTCAGAGTGACACACATTTTACGATCTACGAGTTGTTTCCGTAACCTCCAACTTAATATCTTTGGGCTGTGGTTGACTCAGTGTAATTGAAACCAGTGGAAGCAAAAGAGCAGACCAGAGGGGCTTTTCATAAACGTATAAAGGCATGAACACGAAGGAACGGCACCATGGTGTTAGGAGGAAAATAGTTTTACCCACATGGACTCTCTTCTGGAGTCTTGGTGACCTCTGGGGCTTTCCGGATCACACTTTGAAAATTACTGACCTAGCAACTTGAACGTTAGTGTACGCTGTGCATTTTTTTCTTTTTATTAGAGTTGAAATAAAGACAGACTTCCTCAGGACCCATCATTCCCCTCCCCTTATAAAAAAAAAATAATGGGTCATAGCTAAACTCAAGTGACTTCAAGGACTGGTGGGATGGCTCAGTGCTTAGTGCCTGGCAACCTGAGCTTGATCTCAAGAACCCAAGGGAAAGGACACTAGAAGGTTGTCTTCTGACCTTCATACTGCTTATGTGGTGTATGTGTGCTGAGCTAATGTCTGGCGAATGTTTGATACTTCAGCTTCTCAGTCAGGGCTCAGGGAGGGGGGTCAGAACATCATGGATAGGTCGTACGGAGGTGAGGTGGGCTCCCTCTGTGGTTGGGGTCCCCGGGTAGGTTTGATGGATTTTCCTCGGCTAAGCATTCCCCATGGAAATGCTGACATATAAGTTGTGGGGTGACGTGTTGGGATGACATGTCTACTCTTTTCAATTCCCTTCAAGGATTCAATAAAATATGCAAATGAGGCAAGGAAGCCCTTGGACAGTGAGGTCTACCCCCGCTTCAGGTCAAGGGTTGTCCCATGTCTCTGTCAGCTTCAGCCTTAATTGGGTTTGAAGAACAACTTGGGACACTTGCCCTGAAGTGACAAATGGCTCGCGCTGGCTCAGGGAGCAGCAGCAACTGTGCTGTCCCAGTCCAGAGCCGGTGATCACACCCACGGTGACAGGATGCCTTCTGCGACACGCAGGAAAAGGCTGATGGGATGCAGGTGAGAGCACATAGAGAACTGACAGAGAAAATGTGCTCCTGTGCTTATGAATAAAAGATGGATGAGAGGGTCGCCCAGCTAAGTGTCCTGGGACGGGGCTCGATTACAGCCGCATGCTGTTATCCCGAAGCCCCAGCAGTGTCCTTGGCTATCGGATAGTCTCCTGGCCCTCCCTCCGCAGCCAGTGCGGATCCTGTTACATCATCCCTTGGGAGATGCAGACTCATGCTTTGGTGGCCCCGGTGACCCTGCTGGTTGGGTTTCATTAGGTCAGCTCACAGGACCTAATTAGTCACGCTTTACAGCAATCTACTTAGCTGGGGAGGACACGGAGGAGTGGCAGATACAGCCACTCACTACGACTGCCACACTGGAGGTGCTCTGAGAACACAAGGTCACGCTGGCACACTCTTTATGGGACAGACATACGCTCTCCTCTTGGGACACTGACAATTCATTTGGTTTGTCTCCCCTTAACAACGTGCCTCCCAGACAGAGGGTCATGGTCTTCTAGAACAAAATCTGTATTAATATTGTTTCAGAACTTTGTGACTCAAAAGGAAAAATCAAATAAACAAAACAAAGCAACATGGACCGGCAAGATGGCTCAATGGGTAAGGGTATTTGCCACCTATCTTGATGAGCAGAGTTTGATCTCTGGAACCCATGTGGTAGAAGGACAGAACAGGTATTGGTAAGTCATCTTGTGACTCCACATATACACAAAGGCCTACGTATGCTCAACACACACACATGTATACACAAACACAAATATACATACACATATATACACACATTGATACCTATTCATACACATACATACACATATACACATTCAAATACATACACATACACACTACACACATAGACACATTTTATACACACATACACACTCATACACACACATACACACCAAGCAAGTATATATATATAAAAAAAGAACAAAAGCCCCATCTGTACACTAATGTTGTGGAGAGGTACACTCACCCACAGCAATCACAATACGCCCCTAGGTTAAACAGGAAAAAACCAGATATGTAAGTGAGCCGACTGGGAAAAGGTCCATTAGCTGATCCACACTAGACCTGCCAAGGAAACCCGCCATATTATACTTTTCTGCCTCATGAGACTGTGGTGTAGATACACAAGATTTACCTGCTAAATTTTATGGCTAACTTTATCGAGCCTCAACCACGAACACTTTGTTATCACATACTTTATATGGTACAATTTTAAAGGAGGGAGAAGGCATGGGTATAAACATCTACATTTGAAATTGAGTTTTTGTACCAGCAATTTTTTTTTTTTTAAACAAAGAATTAGACCTGCATAGATGAAGAACAGGCAGGACATTTCCCGAGAAATCGGTGACTTGGGACGAACAAGGGAGTGGGAATTAGCCTGCTTTTGAGTTGGTGTGAAATGGATGATGTTGGTCCTGGCCAGGATGCCAGTCTTCAGGTGGCTGTGAGGGTTTGGGCTTTGTCTTCCAGGCTGAAACTGTCTGGTTTTGCTATTGCCTGCACTAGAAAGGCTACGTGAACAGCAATGCTGATGTGTGTGTAGGGTAGGAAACGCGCCTTGGAAGGGGTCCACACCTCCAGCCTCAAACTGGGCCTGGGAAGGATACTTGGGGTCTCACGGACCTCATGATGAAGTAATGAGAGGTGTCCCCAAGGTCCTTGTGTCAGGACAGAGCGGCTGCACAACTCCTCAGTATTACAGAATGAATGGCCTTTTGACACTCAATGCCTACCATCTCCTCCTTTCTCTAAAAGCCAGAGGTTTTGATGTTCTTGTGTGATTGACATGTGTATGTGTATCTATATGTCTAGTGTGTATAGTGTATGTGTTTATGTACGATGTGTTTTGATGTTCTGATCTGTAGAAACTCAGTTTAAGAATGGAATGGCCCAAAGATTAGAGGGTATGCTAAAAAATAAATGAGACAAAGTCCAGTGTATTTAAGTCACTCTCGATCTCATTATGTAGAGAGACTTCAAATGTATCCTCTTGTTTCTACTTTCCAAGTACTGGGATGATACTACTGTACATACCTGGTTGCTGACATGTTGGGGATTGAATATATCTGCACCTTCATTTAATTTTAATTTTTATTTTTTTTTTGGTTTTTCGAGACAGAGTTTCTCTGTGTAGTCCTGGCTGTCCTGGAACTCACTCTGTAGACCAGGCTGGCCTCAAACTCAGAAGTCCGCCTGCCTCTGCCTCCCAAGTGCTGAGATTAAAGGCATGTGCCACCACTGCCCGGCTTCATTTAATTTTTAAAGTGTATTTTTCGCACATGCCAGAGGCCCCAATGTTGAAGCACATGCTAGGAACACTCCCATTTTGTAACTTTGTGTCAGGGATGGTCAGCTGAAACAGCCAGTTTGTATTCCAGAACTCATTTGAATTGAGACAGGCAGGCAATTAGACACAGGAGGACATTCCCAGAAGGTGCTATGTAGTCACCAGTTTAGAGAGGTGGAAAGAAAGAGTTGTTTCAAGTAGGACAAAGGACTCTGTGAACTTGAGGGGCAGCATGCTGCCACCCAGGTAAGACACTAGCTCTGTGTCTCGACACCACACACGGCAAACTGGTAACGATGACATTTTTACCTGCCTTTTTATGTTGCTCAGGAGTTGAAAGGGTGGCTATATGTCAGAGAACTTTGGAGAACAAACGCTGTGAAAAGAATTCTGTCAGTCACTGGCAACTCTCAGAAGCAGTCTCCGGGGGCCAGAGAAGGGGCAAGAAGGCTCAACAGTAAAGGCCTTTCTCTTTTTTGAAAGAGTTCTTTAAAAACTGTCACTGCAGTAGAGAGCTTCCCCAGACAGTTGAAAACCTTAGA